AACAAACAATAAAAACAATAGTTTAAGAAAAATCTTTAGATCGATCAAAATAAATATCAGTTCCCTTTGTCGGTCACTCTCGACGTCACGTCGGTGACCGACGAATTGGGATCTCGCTTAGCGAGACCAATCTACTTCGAGTGTAAACTAAATGAGCCAATGCACATTGGCATGTGATTATTGCATCCAACTGCCGCTGATCACAGCGTGAGTATAAGTAGGCAGCCGGTGCAGAGCATATTCAGCTTTTTGCTTCGGAGCCAAGCGATCACATCGTTCTGCTCCTGACTACTCTACTGAGAGAAGAAGACTGAACGAGTTCAGCGCACTCTTTGAGAGCTCTTAATGTTGGCGGTACGGCGCTTCAGCGGTGGTGGTTTCCCGTGTCGAGTGGGTTGCACACATCAGGCTGCACTACCCCTTGTTTGTGTTGCAGGCGGCCATCTCCCCTGTGCGCTTCAGCATGCTAAAAGAGCTTTTTCCCTAAAAGCATTCACAGGTGCGTCTTTTTAAAGACGATGTTGAGTGGCAAACTCGACGTTACGTCTTTGTAAAGACGATGTGGGTCTTGCTATAGACAACGTATCACCTGGGCGTTTCTGGATGCGGTCGTTACCTGGCGCTGGGTGATGGTCACGATCGCTGCCTGACGTGCCTGGGCATTTAGCACGCTGAGGTGGCGTTTGTGGACGAGTCATGTTCTCATTGCGGGAAGATGATCATCTCGGAGTCGCGGGGCAAGCTACATTTACTCAAATGGGCGGAGCTCCGTTGCCTCTGCCTCGATCTAGTTCTCGTCATGGCGGCAGTCAGGCGGGGGCTACTCTAGGCAGTAGCATGGGCGGTCTGAGGGTAACAGTGATGGCAAACCATGTCCCCCCGGTGGAGCGGTCGGTTGCGACCCGGCAGGGCAAACCGTGCCCCCCCTCCCGGGTCTGTAGGTACTCGTCTGGTCTGTCCAGCGAAGCTTATGTGGCCTGTGCAGAAGCTGCCTCTGCCTTACACACTACGGTGTTACTGCAGGTTTTTTAGGCTAAAGCACTGAGGGACCTGCACGAGGGTGGTCACGATCCGGAAGTTCTGAAAATAACGGCTATGCTTTCCCGGGCCGCCGTGAGGGTAGGGCTTGGGTGGAGACCTCCACTGTGTCCCAAGCCCTCAAGGTTGGACGATTGGTTCTTCGGGGTGGTCCGCGCTGGTTCTCAACACCCCGCCCCGTTGCCATTCTTCCTGTAGGTGCATGAGGGGCTTACCAGGTTGTGGATGGCACCTTTTTCTGCCGGAAACCGACCTGCTAACTCCTCCCCCCTCACCACTCTCGACGGTGGTGCAGCTAGGGGGTATATGGGGGTCCCCCCGGTGGAGCGGTCAGTTGCGATGCAGTTGTGTCCTAATACCGCCTCCACCCGGCAGGGCGAACCCTTCACATTCCTGGTCTGCACAACCGGGCAGCCGACGAGCTGTCACGAGCTGCGCTCCAGGGAGAGTGGAGACTCCATCCCCAGACACTCCAGCTGATTTGGAGTCGTTTTGGAGTCGCTCAGGTAGACCTGTTTGCCTCTCCAGAAACCTCTCACTGCCAGTTGTTCTACTACCCGACCAGAGGGAACACTCGGCACGGACGCACTGGCACACAGCTGGCCGCGGGCCCTTCGCAAGTATGCGTTTTCCCCAGTGAGCCTTCTTGCACAGACACTGTGCAAGATCAGGGAGGAAGAGGAGCAGGTCCTACTCGTGGCGCCTTACTGGCCCACTCGGACTTGGTTTCCGGAACTGATGCTCCTTGTGACAGCCCCTCCTTGGCAGATTCCTCTGAGGAAGGATCTACTGACTCCGAGACGGGGCACCCTGTGGCACCCACGTCCAGACCTCTGGAAACTTCATGTCTGGTCCCTGGACAGGACGCGGAGGTACTAGGTGACCTACCCCAAGAGGTAGTTGACACCTTCACTTCGGCGAGAGCACCGTCTACGAGACACGCTTACGCCTTGAAGTGGAACCTGTTCGTCGAATGGTGTTCTTCTCACCGAGAAGACCCCCGGAAATGTCCGATCAGAGTCGTGCTGTCCTTTCTGCAGCAGGGGTTGGAGCGAAGGCTGTCTCCCTCCACCCTTAAAGTCTACGTGGCTGCGATTGCTGCCAACCACGACCCCGTGGAAGGGAAGTCGGTGGGGAAGCATGACCTGATCATCAGGTTCCTTAGGGGGACGAGAAGGCTAAATCCTCCACGGCCCCCCTCTATACTCTCTTGGGACCTGTCTCTAGTGCTCAGAGCACTACAGCAGGGCCCATTTGAGCCTTTGCAGACAGTCGAGCTGAAGTTTCTGTCAATGAAAACTCTGCTCCTGCTTGCA